TCTATCTATCTATCTATCTATCTATCTATCTGTATTTGATGTAAATTTCATGTAGTCTACACATGCCAGAATGCATGCACAACTTTAACTGGAAAAGTTATCTTTAGTCCGTTTTGAGAGGTTTATTAGGTTATAGTGATTGTATTACCTCCAGAGAAATAATCTAACCAACCTTATTTATAGTATAGCAAACCTGATTATCTGTTCATTCCTTTCTTTCTGCTGTCATTGTTTGAAACGAGTTAAATGCTCTCTTCTTTGAAAGGTCATTCTTGAGAGGCTTTCGAATGAAAAAATATTCAAAGAATTCGTTAAGACTAAATTGATTCTAACGATATGTTTTGCTATGACATGACTTAGACTAGCTGTTAGTTTATGTACAGGTACAGATTTATTTTCTGGTTTTGCTCAAACAGATTATGGGGTTAGGGTAAACAGGAGCTAACTCGTGTATCAACTAGTATTAAACCAACATGTGCCATCATTTAGAGCTGTTAGCTGTTATCTGTTAGCTGTGCTAATTCATTAACTAAAAATCTGTTTAAGGTTTATTTAAAAAATCCACATTACATCTGTTAGAGCTATTGTGCTACTTTGAATTTAACCCTAAACCTTAACCTAACCCTAAACCTTAACCCTAACCCTAACCCTAAAGCCGAACCCCTATCCCTAAACCTTAACCCTAACCCTAACCCTAAACCTTAACCACTAAACCCTAACCCTAAACCCTAAACCCTAACCCTAAACCCTAACCCTAACCCTTAACCCTAACCCTAACCCCAAACCCTAACCCTTACCCTAACCGTAACCTGACTTTTAACTCGCATCTATTCTTTTCAGAAGTGCTTCATGAATTACGCAGATATTGGATCTGATCATACAAACAAACACATACACAGTTCAGGAAGACCCTGGGCAGCCGCTAAAGGGCGCACCGTTTTTCTTCATGACAAAGATTCATCAGGAAAGGGGCTGTGGGAAGAGGGGGGGAAATGCCCAGTGCCACCCCCCCTACAGGGGACGTAAGAATGATTAAAAAAACACCTCAGTACACATAGGGAGGGAGGGATGGGGGTGTCCCTGTGATGCCCACAAGGGTTATGGGGTTAGGGTTAACAGGAGCCTAATGGTGTATCAACTAGTATTAGACCAAGGTGTGCCATCATTTATGAGGGATGGTAGCTCTTCACCCCCATGGTGCTGAAGTTAGGGTTTAGGGTTAGGGGTTCGGGTTCGGGTTAGGGTAAAGGTCAGGGTCAGGGTTAGGGGTTAGGGTCAGGGTTAGGGTTATATTCCGATTTCGTATAGTCAGTAAAGTTTCGTTTCCACCTCAGAAAGCTGCTAGTCACATGACCTCATTAAAATGGCCGACTTGGATGTGGGAGGAGTTGGTTAGGGGTTAGGCTCTGGAGTTAGGGTTCGGGGTTAGGGGTTAAGGTTAGTGTTGCCCCCCATGGTGTTAGCTGTTAGCTCTTAGCTGTTAGCTGTTATGATTCATTAACCAAAAATCTGTTTGAAGTTTTTTTAAGAATCCCTGAAACGAGCAGTGATTCTCTTATTTTTCTCTTACTTACTCTCTTACTTCTTTTATATTTTCCCGGTTTTCTCCAGACCCCCATGGTGTTAGGGTCAGGGGTTAGGGTTAGGGTTAGGGTAAGGGTCCGGAGTTAGGGTTAGGGTTTAGGGTAAGGGTTGCCCCCCATGGTGTTAGTTGTTAGCTGTTCTGATTTATTAACCAAAATTCAGTTTTAGGGTTAGGGTTAGGGTTAAGGGTTAGGTTTAGGGTTAGGGTTAGGGTTAGGGGTTTGGGTTAGGGTTAGGGTTGCCCCCTATGGTGTTAGCTCTTAGCTCTTAGCTGTTATCTGTTAGCTGTTATCTGTTAGCTGTTCTGATTCATTAACCAAAAATCAGTTTTACGTTTTTTTTAAAAATCCCTGAAACAAGCAGTGATTTGGTTGTTCCTTCTCTTATTTCTCTCTTACTTCTCTTATTGTTTCCCGGTTTCCTCCAGAGGAGGTCTGGGCTCTGAGGGAGCTGGTGGAGGAGCTCCGCTGCGCCCTTCAGGGCAGCGACGCCCGCTGCCTAGCCCTGGGTTAGGGTTAGGGTTAGAGTTAGGGGTTAGGGGTTATGGTTAGGGGGATAGGGTTAGGGTTTGGGCTTAGGGTTAGGGGTTAGGGTTGCCCCCCATGGTGTTAGCTATTAGCTGTTCTGATTTATTAACCAAAAATCTGTTTTAGGTTTTTAAAAAAATCCACATTACATCTGTTAGAGCCATGATGCTATTTTTAATTTAACCCTAACCCAAACCCCCCCTTAGGGTTAGGGTCCGGAGTTAGGGTTAGGGGTTAAGGTTAGGGTTCGGGTTAGGGATTAGGGATTAGGGGTTAGGGGGATAGGGTTAGGGTTTGGGTTTAGGGTTAGGGGTTAGGGTTAGGGTTCCCCCCCATGGTGTTAGCTGTTAGCTCTTACCTGTTAGCTGTTCTGATTCATTAACCAAAAATCTGTTTTAGGATTAGGGTTAGGGTTAGGGTTAGGGTTAGGGTTAGGGTTAGGG